CTTTGGGGCACTGAGCAGAAAAACAACACATTGGCAGATTCTTGAACTCTTAGGAAAAAAACAAAAACAATGAATGGAGCATGGACACAGTGTAGCCTTGGGGAAAGCTAAGTGCTGTACTGTATATAGTGGAGAGTGCCTATAGGTCCCTGTGGCTCAGCCTCATTGTGTGGACGAATCCAAAACATCTGGACATCATTGCACATGTTACTGCTAGCACTGAAAGAACAGCAAATGAGCACAACATATTTGTAACTGTAGTTGGGAAATACAGAATATGCTTATTTGTCTTGCTCAATATGCATCTCATGTTAATGCATTTAACAGCAGGAGTTGATTAGCTTAAATTAGCATAAAGACTGGAAATTGCCAAGCTCAGAAATACCTACAGACACCTCTAAAGTTCACTTAATACACTTTTTCCCCCTCTAAATACACAGACAAGGAATGTAAAAACAACCATGGAACTGTTGGAACTATGAACAATTTTTGAGCTTAGCTGGTGCTTGTAGGAACAATTTTTAACTCTGGGAAGAGCAAGGTTGCAAACCACCTGTCTGCAAAATATCCCAAAAAGAGACAAAAAAATGGCCAAAATGAGAGACAAAATACAACCACAAAGAAATGTAAAAACCTCTACAGAGTCCTCAAAGTGACACAAAATGTCCACCAAGAGACATTAAGCAACTGATACAGGAGATGCAAAACAACCACAAAGAGATGCAAAATGACTATAAAAACAAGCAAGACAACCACAAAGAGACACAGGAAGACCATAAAGAGATGCAAAATGACTACACAAAGATGTAAGACATCCTCAAAGAGACACTAAACATCCACAAAGAGACACTAAACAACTGTAAGGCGATGCAAAACGACTACAGACAGATGGAAAACATCTTTAAAGAGATGCCAAAACAACCATAAAGATAAAAAAAAAAACCCATCTGTGTCTCTTTCTGTCTGGGTGACTTGCATCTACGGTATGTGGGAAGGTGGGCGGTGGTGGTGGTGGTGGTGGTGGTGGGGGCTTTTACATGTCTATGCCCAGGGCCCACATAATGTCATAATCCACCCATGCACCTAAACATGAAAACAGAGCCAAATGACTATTAGCTTAGTTTAACTTAGCATGGCACAAGGCCTGGAAGCAGCTAGCCCGGTTGTGTTCTCACTCTCAACAACAAAGTAAATCACAATGTTTCCCTTCTCCTTTAAACAAAGCTACAGTATATTATCATTAAGGTGCCCTGTTCAGTTTAAATTCAGTGTTACTCACCAAAACACAGTGTGTATCCTTCAGGTCTGACAAACATTTTGAATCCATTTTCTTTTCTTCTTTTCTTTTGTTTTCTGTGTTTCTTGACAGGTTACTGCCACCTGCTGATCAGTGGAACAGTGTGAGACCATTGGCTGGAATATGTAGCACATCACCTCTGTGCAAGGGAATAAAGTAAACGGTGCTCTATGCATAAGAAAAAATATTGCTGCATAGCAATAATAATGCTCGAAAACACCACATTGAAACTTTAAGTCCCTTAAGTTATTGAAAAGGCTATGTGAGTTCAGAACACACTGTACATCACCATCGCTCTGACTCTGTGGTTATTAAAAGAAGTAAAATACTTTGTTGGTTTCCTTGTGTTTGGCATACTGAAGAGGTGGACTATCTGGGGGGAAACAAAAATAAAAGCTACTTCTGCTCAGGATGCTGCTCTGTAAGCTTTTCTCAGTCAGGAGGCTCCTGCTGGCTAACCTCTGGATGACTTTCAAGTCCCTCCACAGCCCATTGTTATGCCTCTGTCTTTCCTTCAGATGTCCTTTTCTCACCACAATCACTCATACTCTCAACTCTGAGAGGAAAGTAAGCATCCTAACTCCTCAGAAGAACCACAAACTAGGCAGTACTGTGAAAAGAACAATTTGCACAACACAAAGGCTTTTGTTTCCAGGCCTTTGAGTGGGAAACAGGTGGGAATAACTGTGGGAATAACTTGGCTTTCCCTTTGAAAAACTATGGGGACAGAGGTGTCAAGTACAGGCAAGCCACAGAAACAAGAGGATTTGTGTTGAAGCCATAAGCTTATACATAACCTGGGGCAGTGAATTCTATTCTGCTATACTGCTATGTTCTAGCCTTATACAATGGAAAATGCATTTGACACAGCACATAAAATATTTCTTTTCTTTATTTTTTCATTAGGTGCAGGTATGGCACAAAAATGGGTGATAAATCCAAAGAAATACAGTGAAAAAGAAGCCTGATCATATATAAATATAGAGCACAAAACAGAGAAGAGTGACAGGTCAGCATTACAGGGTGTGGGCACAGAACAAGATAAACAACATCACTGAAACACAGTTTTCTCAACAACCTTGATATTACTGCATCAAAACCCATATTTTTCTGGAGGTGTTTGTGTGGGGGGCGATTTCCTGACGTCTTCATTTTCCAATCCTGCATGCAGTCAGCTGCACTGATGGTAAATAACTGGTCTAAACAGAGGCTGTGTGAGCATTCATCTTCCTCCTGCCTGGACTGCGATTCTGGTCAAAGCATGTAAAAGATAAAGAAAGGATAGGGAGAAGAGGAAAGCCATCAAGATGAAAGGAGATTCACTCTTAACACCAGACAGAGTGGACACCAAGAGGTGGCAGTTTTACACTGGCAAAGTTGTTGCACTGAGCATCCATCTCAAATAGCAATACACCACTTCCTCCCTGACAGAGCAAAATGAGATCTCTGAAATGTGTCTACCTTTCCCAGTTATTTAGTGAGACTGCAGTAAAGCCGCCTGTCGAGAAGTCACTCACTGCTGCCTATCCATTGTGAGGAACTAAAAGAAACTTGCCGCATTAAGATGGCAATTTTCCTCTTAAATTCAACACATGTATCACATTTAATATGACAGACATTTTGTTCCTGTTTGAGTCCTTCATATAAACCCTTCTCAAACTGCCAAATTCACTGCACCTGCCAATTCGGTCAGAGCTGGTTGTGCCGAAACACAAAGCTTTTCTCCTCCTGTTGGCACAAAATCTCTTTGCTGAATAAATACCAAGAAAACATAATGTGTAAGGAGATAATTAGGGCTACCAGCTGCAATTTTATCATGCTAGTAGAACAGTAGTTTTTTTTTTTTCCATGGAGCAAAAATAGCATGATGAATGGCACAATGTGACAAGCCCTTCTTAGGTTGAACAGAAAATGAGAACACTTCCACTCACAAAGAAATGTTGGGACCACTCCTTTTAAAGACCTTTAAAGCACTAGGTATTAAGTTAAATATAAGGTAAGACCAGACAATTATAGCTGTAGCTAAAGAAGTAAAAATGTAAAAAAAAAATAAAAATTACAGCTGAATTTCTTCAAAAACCCCTTCCAGACAACTACATTACAGTTGGAAACTGCCTGAGTTCAGCAGCACATTCAAACAGGACTTCATTGTCTTAGCAAGAGCTTTTCTACTTGTAGTTTGTAATATTACAAGGTATGCAGTTTCTAGAAATTAAGGCAATACATTGTTTAAATTATATTTCCTCACATAGCAACTGGTCATGGTTCTACTCACATGGATAGTTTTAATCAAATTTGTTAAAGAACCTGGGTGGCTGTTTCAACATACAGTAGGGAAGGCAGTTATGTTCAAGCTGCAGCCTGTACACACTCTGACAGACCGCATCCTTTAATGCTACCATACCTCCATTTTAATGGTCATAATGTAAGCAGTGGGTACATCCATGCACAACTGCAAAATTCATTCATGGATTCATCAGTACACAAAAGAAACAACAGCACTCGAAATGAGTTCTTGTTTGTTTCCTTGGTATTCCAGGGCCTCACTGTATCTCACAAGGTTATATCACATGATTTCATTTTCATTTTGTTTAAGATTAATATGTACCATTTACACAAAGGTTACAAGTCTAACGTGTCTTGGAACAAAGGTTAAACTGCAATGAAAAAGGAAACACTTTCTGTCTGTGTAGCCTGTACTACACTCTGCTTCCCTCCTCCCACTTAAAAAAACTATACTTCCTTTTCCATGCAATAAAGACAAAGTTGTGTTTGTTTTCAGCAGTGTTACAAAGCATGCAATGCAATACCAGCAACCCAAACACCTTAATTATAATGTTCAGTATTTGTTGAGACTACGAGCTTCAGAACATTAGTTTTTTTTTAGTGACTGAATACTACGGTGCATTTAAGACTGTACTTTCAAGTTGTTTAATTTGATTGCATTACATTGAAAGGTTATTTTTGTAACCATCTATTAAAAATTATGTTAACTCTTAGAGAAGCATCAAATTAAAGTTACTGCCAAGAGAAACATCTAATACTGTACTATGTGCTGGTGGGAAGCACAACACACACAAAATGTCTGGAGCTGAGGCATAGCGATGTTAAAAAAAAGAAAAATATTGGACATACAGTGACACATTCAGCTGCAGCACCCAATCTAATCAGAAGCAACAAATACCTTACATATGCATTTCTCCTTATGAACACTTCAGTACTTGCTGAACTACAGAAGGCTCTCATCATCAAAATAAAGTCAGTGTAGGAAAACCAAATGTCACACCGTTTACATACTCAGAACCTGTTAATCCTCGCCAATTGTACTTTGAAGTAGCTTAGAGGATTTTTATCGACAAACAGAGCAGAGCTGAGGGTGCAAGCTACTCCCCAGGCTCACGGGCCTCGTATAGACATATGGCAAAGACTGACACAGGGTGTATGAAATGCAAAGAAAGGGAAATGAAGGATATGGTAAGAGCTGCAATACCATGAAAACAATTGTTCACTTTGCTATCCAATTTCAGTTGCAATTCTGGTAAAATTAGCCAATTTTTCCTGCACGCAGATGAATTTTTGCAGATATATATGAATGTACCCAGCACATACTATACACCACAAAACCTGGATAAAAATTTGATCTGCCAGTTTTTGAAACTGATACATTTACAACACATAGAAATATTTCACAGCATGGCCACTGAGAGGGAATAGAGAAGGTGTTTTTAATACCCAGGCTGTTATTTTAAAGCAACAGTTGAACATTTTGGGAAATACACTTAAGTTCTATCTTGGTGAAAGTTGGTTGAAAAGACTGATACCACTACACAGCTACAGGCAGCAGCTGGTTAGCTTAGCTCAGCTTAGCACAAAGACTGGAAAATCAAGGAGAATGTTAGTCAAGCTCTGTCCAAAGGTAACAAAATCAGCTACCAGCAAAGTTAACTAAACAACACACTATATAATGTTTGTTCAATTTATATAAAAAAGTATAACAACAAGGTACGGTTTTACAGGGGGTTATGTGACATACAATTTTTCGCAACCTGCAAAAATGCAACTTCCTACTTTCTCTTTTTTGGATGGATTGTACAAAAAAGATGTGTTCACTTTAATTTTAGAGTGAGCGGATTTCATTTAGACACAGCCAGGCTACCTAGCTGTTGATCATTTCCAGTCTCTGTGCTAAGCTAAGCTCAGTCTCCAGGCTGGAGCGCCATATTTATCAAACATAAAACTTTCTCCTTGGACTCTTGGCAAGAAAATGAATAAGCTCATTCCCCAATATCGTTCCTTTAAACCCTTGACAGCATTATTAAAGTAATACCAAAGGTGTTCTTCTATGTAAATCCAGCTGTAATTTCTAATCATTCATATTTATAGGTGCCACTATTATTATATGCTGATACATTATTGTAATTTTGAACTGACCAGGTAAAAGGAACAAAAATATGGTAAAATACTCTATACTTAGTGACAGTGACAACTACACTGGGCACTTTGGCACTTTTCGTTACCTACTATACCACAGGAGGATATAGTGAGTGCCGAAAAGATGTTTTATCTTGGGTTATATTTTTGGAAACTGTGTCAAAGTCAGATACATGTATGTCATATTTTTAATGTGTCCAGAACAGCCTATGAAAGTCTAAAAGTTCTCATCATCAAAAGCACAGAAAAAACATAAGCTTCAGTAAAACATTACAGCCATACTGTAAGAAAATAACTCCCCCCACAACTCCATTTACATTCATTGTGATCTGGGCCTTATGAAAAAAAAAGACAGAAATGAAAGCATCCATAATTTATTAAAACAAAATAGCAGAAATGGATGTCAGATGATACCTGTGATAATGTGTCTGTAACACCATCACAGAAACCATAATGATATTGTAAGGATACCCTGAAATGAAATCATTCTGCTCTGTTTTGCCTAGCATATCTTCTTTACATGTATCAGTTTCACACCTATTGTACACAGCTTTATGCTCACGCATGTACACGACCTACTCAGACTAACCCAGGCTTTCACTGAAGAGGCTACATATGCTGAACAACCACAACACCATGAACCTTTACTTAGTCTCGCAATTCATGTGGATTTCATTTATCCTCTGGACTGGGGTCCCGCTGTGTTCATTAGCACTGTGGTTGCACTATAAATATGAATGTAATAAGCTTAAATGATTAATTTGCTGTTAAATGTGTTTCAGAGTGACAAGAAGCCTGAATTTGTGGGAGCTTGACATGTATGTGCAGAAAAATATCAAATGTATTGTATATGTTGAGACCTTAAACTGTATGTTGTGCTTCCTGTACTCCAACATAAAACATTTATCATAAACCTTTGAATAGAGCTTCTTTGACATTTACAAGTTATACAGTTACCAGATTGGTTTACTTCTTATGCTTCCATCAGCTTTGATACTTCAGCAATGCAGAGGGAGACAACAAGAAGAGAAAGGAAGTTAAGTCATCTTCAACAGAAAAAAATAAGAAACAAGACACAAGTCCTCAAAACATTTGTCATAACCAACAATGAACGGAATTTTTCATTTTGTTATTTTCTCATTTTTACAATAGATTTTTTTTAAAAACCCCGCTGGTTAAGGTTATGGTCTCAGGTAGATCTTCCACAGTCAATCTTCACAGTTTGTGTAAAAGCAGAGAAACATTCTCGCTAGAGTAATAAAATATCATGACTATTATTATGGTCATTATTATCTTTTATTCTCATATTGTTCCATATAAATGGCGGAGGATAGGGGTGAGGCACATCACCCTAATGAAGAGCCTGCTGTCCCAAAGTTCCTACTTTCCTCCCTGTACAATGCAATGTTTTATTCAGCAGTTGTTCTTTTCTTTTGTTAAAAAATGCTCGCCCACAGGGAAGGAGAATTATGAGAAGAGAGAGTGGGGTATTCATTCGACAAAGTGTCTTTATCCTGCTGTGTGATCTTAAACTTCTTGTCTTTTTCCTGAAAAAAAAAAAAAAAAAAAAAAAAAAGATCCAGAGCCTCACTTTCACTGTTGCCACTGTTTTTTTTTTTTTTATCAAATGGTTTCCAAATCTGTCAAACCTGTGCTCAGGTTCTGCTAGCACTGCCTGGATGTCTGCCCTCTCACTGAACTATGCCTAGGCATAGCTGTAGGCTTAGGGGCATGCACACACACAAAAAACACACAGTCGTACACACACACACACACACACACACACACACACACAAGAACTGTCCCGTCTGAGGTAAAACCCAGATGTAGTACAACACTATACTCCCTCTGAACGCACATGCCCTCCCATCAGCACTTGTGGGGCAAAAGAAACATAGAAAATAGCCCATCAGAGGAAACATGAACAGAGATGTGTTTGATGTTGATTAACACCCAGGCTCACGATTCAGTTTGTAATCTGAAGGCACTTTGTTTCATGGCAGAAAGTAAAGTGGCTTCTGTTCCACAGGCAGACTGCTGATTGAATATTCAAATCAGACCTCACTAATCTGACCTTTCTCTACTCTCTGCCTTTCCTTTTCTGCTGTCTTTCCATCTCTCCGTCTCATTTCAGCCTCTAAGTTTTAACTTCTGTCTGCCCTCCAGTCCGGCTGTCTACACCTCTGCTGATTCTTCTGGACTTATTGTTATGCCACCATACTGTCGGTTGGCCACTTGGACTCGTGAGCACAGTGTTAAAAGATACATAGGCAGCTACAGGGGGAATAAGCAGACAGAACAAAATGTTGGCAGAGTCCTTGTTTTTCTACAGTACAGCACCAAGCAGATAAAGAAATGCCAAGGTGTGACGTGAGGCTGGGCTAGAGTGAAAAACAAGTGTCAGTGATTGGCATCTGGTGCAAGAAAATGAGAATAAAGTTACACAGAAAAAGGTCTGATTCCATGTATTTGTAGCAGGGAATTGTTATTTCCTCTTCAAAAAGTCAGCAGTGTCTGTTTTCCACTGCTTTCCAAAGATATTTTCATAACTTCATAAAATTGTTCTTGTGCTTTACAAATGATACTCTCTCGATGCTTGTGAACTCTCTTGCCAAAGTCCAGGCTTAGTCATCGCCCACCTGTCTTTGTGCTCGCAAAGGCGTCCCGAGTCCTGCTCTGAGGAGTGTTTTCTGTAAAAGAGGTCTCTTAAAAAATTAGCGCAACTTCTTTATTACCTTTTGTGTAAGTTTTTTATCACTATTTTCTCTCTCTTGCATTCATGTCGGCCCCTCTGTGGTCCGTCAGGGGACCACTGCTGCTTTCAGGATGCATGAATCTTTGGTGATTGGATGCCGAGGGTATAGCTCACAGACGGTGGGTCTGAATATTTGCCTCTGAGATGATGGAGAGAAGGGTCACCTCTGACCTTCTAGGAGGGTCATCACCAAGATGACACATAGCAGCCATATATGGGAGCATGTGAATGGAGCCGTGCAGTTGAGATCTAAGTAGGTAAAAGAAACAGGAAAAAGTTATCTAATGTCTTTACAAAGCACAAAAATGTCTCCTGACACTTTATGCTGGACTGACCTAATGTCTGTCTGTGGAGATTCTCATTCATTGTGGGCATGTTACTATTTATCCAAACCTGCTATAGATGGCAATTACGATACCACTTATCAGCCATTTACAGTGCAGTCCCGATAGGCATTTTAACAGCCATTCACACCTTGACTCATGTGACCAGAACCCAAGGTGTTAATGACTCCATGGTGGTTAAATACCTTGGATGCCCCACCAGCCAGTCATGACAGAAGAAGCTTCTCGTATAAGAGGTGAAACATCTTCAAGGACCTCAAGCAAATCCAGTTACCACCTACTGTATAGCACTTTTGGATATCTCCTGGCTACAGTTTCAAGTTTCAAGGCTAAATGTTTTTAAAAAAAAGGACAAGGGGGTGGTATTTATTTTCCCATATAACAGCTGGCAAAAAAAAGTGATTAAGAATTATTTTCTAAAATGCAAACTATTCTTTAAGGCACAGCTAATCTGTATGACCAGATCCTACAACAACTCTGAACCAATTTTTTGAGTGACATCAGTCAGAACGTGCCTTGAACCAGTTCTCTATTATAGTTCATATACAGTATTTTTTCATTTTTTCCCTCTTACATCACATAAAGTCATGTAAGATTCATCATGCAAGATTGAATTGCATAATTCATAACACTACTCTGTTCTCAGCCTGGGCGACCACTCCTATAACTCCAAATGAATTAATGTTGTCGCTTTGAATCATAATGGATCCAAATGAAAAATAACCCGAATAATAATCTTGCAGTAATAAAAAGAATACATCTTATAGACTGAGACCACTGAGTTTGATTTCCTTTTAGATGCCTTGTGGTTTGCTGCTAATGAATTACTGCAATTCATTTATGATATGTTAAAGGGATGTCTAAATTTGAGAAGCTCCTGGAAATAATGTTCCACTAACCATAAATAACAGGAAATAAATTAAAAGAATGGTGTTTATCTGCCTACCGGTATCACCTTGTCAACCGCAGGCCATTTTCTGTGTCCTGTTTTCTGTTTTTACCTTCTGTTTGTTCCTGCGGTGCAATTACAGTGCTCCACTCAGCCGGCGTGGCTATCACTCATGTGATTACAACACTGTTGCTATAGTAACTGGGGTTTTTTTTTTCACATGAGATGGTAGTTCAATGCTGGCAACTGTCTATGATTAGATCCACTCTTGTAAATCTCTACTTTGTCCAGTGAGGGTGTAGAACAAGAGCCTGGAGCTCAGATAAGAGGGGCCAGAAAAGGGGATGGAGGAAGCAGAAATTTGGTGTTACTCACTGGGCGGCGGGTCTCGACACTCCCCTTCCTCCAGCGTGACGTCATCGATGGCGATATCTCCCTCGATGCCTGGTCCCCGGACACCTTCCAGTACCACCTAGAGAGAGAAAAACAAGTTTATCTTATTACATATATACCCTTGGAAGATCACAAAAACAAGACAATTTGCAATGCTACAGTCTAAAAATAAACACGCACTGTCATTTGGCTAAAGTGTCTCGTAAAAAAACAATAGCAGGTGGTGATGGTTTGTTTCACTTTTTAATGTCACAAAATGTAAAACTAGGAATGCCTGTGGTGCTCGAACAGATAGAAGTCAGAGTGAGAACAAAAAAGACACAGAAGTGCAGCTGAAATTGTAATTACCTTTCACAAATGCAACCATAAAAATGGCAATGCATGAATGATATATTGCTTTCTCAATAGCAAACAATGTCTATGGATCCCGTCCACTTCTCTGCTTAATATCGAGGATTGTGAAGTGCCACATCAATATGCAACCCCAAGGAAATGAATACTTCACCATACCAACACAGACAGAGGAGAAAATAGAGGGCAGCAGGGGCACTGCTGCTACGTATTGCATTGATTGAGTTTTTTGCTCGCACCTGGAACGACGCTGTTGGGTGGATGCTTACTTTGGCCTGCTTCCACCGTTCACCTTGGTTACCACTTAGGGACCACACGGGACCCTCTGAAGTTGTTTGGCCCTTCTGTTTTAGGAAGGCGTTTAGTGTTCCTGCATGAAGTGGAGACAGTTATACAGGTCAGTATAAGGTCAGTACACACACAAAGAAACACACAAACATGTTGACAATAAATATATATTGCATTATTTATATATGAACCTAAATCATTTGTTTAGCAGAACATTTTCTACTGAGCCATGAGGCAAGAAAATCTTATGCTGTAAGCTTTACAACAATACACTATTATTTAACTAAAGAAGGTCATCAGTGCTCAAGGTACCCAGTCTGTTGTCACCACCTTTCACTATTCAGCAGTGAATGAAATGTCTGTGAGGGTACTATCCGACACTTCAGGAAAAGAGAGGGGCCTGGGGAAATGTTTGAGGGTGCCTTGCTTTTGTACAGTATGAGGGAACAAATGGAGCCAATTTGTGTGGAAGGCAAACACCCAAGAAACACTGCAAATATTGACAAATATTGACAAATATGGACAACTGTTTCTCTAAAAATGTCCAGTTCATATTCCACCATGAGTCCCCATTAGATAGGATGTCGGTAAGCACCGGTCCCTTTCTGTGCACATAGCTTATGGAGGTAAACTCGCACTCATGATGTAAATTGTAGGTTAAAAAACACTTTGTGCTTTAAGGTCTTCAATTTCTCCTTTGAGCATTTTGGAGATGTAATGATTTCGGTATACAGTGACAAGAAAAAGTATGTGAAGCCTTTAAGACTCAGCTGCATCTCTGGGCTTCTGTTCTAACCTCATCGATCATTCTGCGTTGTGCCTCTGGAGGAACGCTTTCTGGGTGCCCACTTCTAGGGAGAGTAGCCACAGCACTAAATCATCTGTGTTTATAGACAGTTGGTCTAACTGTGGTCTACCTTGTAAACCTTTGTAGCTTTATGCAAATCAGCAACTCATGATCAGAAATCTTCTAGGTTCTCTTTTGTGTCAGCATGGCTCAGGTCAGCAGATGTTTCTTGTAAAGAGGAAACTAAGTGTTTGTTTTTTTCAAGATCAAAGTAACTGTAACCCACACCTTCAATCTGGCTGCATTGATTGGACTTGTTTTGCTAACTCCTGACCCCTAATTAGCTTTGTTGATGTCATTAGCTGAGAAGTTCACATACCTTTTTCAGACTACATGTGAGCGTTTGAATGATGTGCTCAATATGGAGAAGAACAATACACTGAGACGTGTGTTATTAGTTAAAACAGACTGTGTTGCAGATTTATGTTAACTTAGATAGAGATGTGACCTTATTTAAAACTAATTTATACTTAATAGCAGATGATTCCAAAGGGTTCACTTTTCCATGACAATGTTGGGTAGGGTGAGGGAGGTGTGAGGTGATATATGACAGTACTCTACCTACTTGATATATTCTGGAACAGTTCTAATTCTGGGTATGTTAGCTTTTGATAATAAAGACCATTTTGAATCTGACACATCTACTTTCACTAAAACAACTTTTAATTGCAAAGCAATGTATTTACATTACTTCTAATTAGATAAAAGAGTTCCTAACCCCCATAGGTCTGTATTAGTAGGTCACCTGTTCACTGTTCAGTAGTGAAGCTGTGCTCAGCATGTGAGTCTTGGTGAGGGATCCATTTGTGTTTTTAAAAATTTTGTAAGAAACATTAATGACATACTAACCAAATAAGTTTGGCTTTGTGTTTATGCTCAAAACAGTGTTTAAGACACCACACAACCACCCCCACAAGGTAGAACTAAATTCCAGTTTAACGATTTAAAGTGAAATTCGATCTAGATTTTAAGCTTAGTATTACCTTCTGTCTCTTGCATTTCAAATGCATGCATTTGTCTGCATTTGCAGCTGAGCCTAGCAGTGCCAAAGGTTAAGCTCATGTTGTATGAATTGATACATTTATTAAGCTAGGGTTCGGTAAGTGATGATAAATTATTCCCTAGCTCATAATAATTCAAATTAATTATCACTAAGGGACAGTGACTGAGGAGGATTTTGTGAATGTAAATATCACCCCAGTGGAGGACAGTTCCTCCTAATTTATCACTCGATTCAAACTATTTCTGCCAGTCCAGCTTTCATTTTCAGCTCACCTAGATTTCCACTGAAGATGCACTGGAAAAGCCACTAAATGTGATAACCAACATTACATAAAAAAATACAAGAAGACAAATCTATTTTAACTGCATTCTTACAGATGGGTGACAAATGAAAGGACAAACCAACATAAAGTGTCTTAGTAAGGTGTTGGGCTGCCAGAACAGCTTCAGTGCAAATGAGCATTGATTCTCCAAGTCTCTAAACTCTGCTGGAGGGATGAACACCATTCTTTCAAAAGATATTCCCTCATTTGGTGTTTTGAAGCACTGTCTAAAGGTGGGGACACAACTTTTAAGACTGGACAGGCCACATTTAAAGGCCGTTTCCAACAACTTGGGCAGATTTTTAGTGCTTGTTAGTTGGGAAGGAACACAAACTTTATGACTGAGTAAACAACACGCGTATGACTGTCTGCAATGACAAAGTTCTGGCAGTAGATGTGACTAAATCCTGTCAGATCACACCAGTTGATGCATGTGCTTGGACCAAGATGGATATGATTTTCACTATTAACATTTATCCATAGTTTACAGTTTAATTTGCACTGATTTGCTTTTTCTCCACTTCACTTGTCCACTGGACTTTGACACTGCTGTCCTTTTTATTCACCGTTCTTAAATCTTTACCTTTATCTTTTATTGGTCACCAAATCTTTATGAGAATGACTGACAGTGGCTGGATCTCAAGACTAAAATTAGAATCTTTACATGGTACGCACACTGGTCAACTGGGTTGAGATCTGGTGACTGCGAAGGCAGTATAGTATACAAGTCACATCATTTTCAGTCATTCAGTGGGCATTCATTTATTATCTCCTTTAATCTGTCACCCTTCTGTATATAACCCTTACAATAACACAGAAATACTGGCTGCCACTGAGTCAGAATATACCAGGTCTGAACTGAAAACTATCCTCGGTGAGACCTCTTGTCTGGCCCTGGGCTTTGATATAAACCCACTCAAATGATGACACTGAGTGCAACCACTTTACCCCTCTCTCTAAACAGACCAACTGTATTCAGTTTTTTTTTGCCATGGAGTAAGGTTGTGTGTGAGATCGGGAACAGTCCTCTTGTAGTGGGTAAACAGGGGCAGGATCTGAAGACTCAGTAGAACCTTTGCTCTGAAGTCATGTGAATTTCACAGGCATGGAAAGCAGTGCCTTTGTGTTGAAACAGCTGGTGAGCAAAAACAGCAGCGACTAGGACTGCAACCTTGCCACTGATGCATCTTTGCCTCAGCAAGGTGCCTCATTACTGTAAAGTCTCTTTCAAAAAATATCTTTGTGTGGAAATGAAGGAAAGCTATACTGTGTGTCCCTGTTCATATTCTCACATCAGCACCGTATACACTTTTCCCAACGACAGCACAATCTCCAGTGAGAGATGAGCTCTTGTAGGGAACATGACCTGCAGTTTCATCTCTTGTTGAAGTGTTTAGGATATAGGGGGATTCTTGTTGAGCTGGCTGGCTTACATTTTCTTTGAACTCATTGTGATGTAGGTGGTCATGTCAGTGTCATCAGATCCTGAACCAAGGCATGTGCTGTATTTTCTTTGGAGTACTTATTTTATTCAAAGGAATACCTGTGGCAGACACTTGTGAAATTTAAAAAGATCTGAGAAGAGAAAGATGTGAGTCTGTTGAAAAGTGAGAAATAGCTCCCGGAAAATTTCAATTACGTAGAGAGGACGGAGAGTGGGAGGGTGGGGGCGTTTGAGGTGCAGTACCACCCTCCTTGCTAATGAAAGGATGACTCCATTGCTTCTCAGAAGGTCAGGCTTGAAACAGACTTGCTTGGTGTATGCTGGCTGGAGACCTAATCCTATAAACAAATACGACACGGGCTCCAAAGACAAACTTTGATGTGCACTTCAGTAATTAAGTGTGACCTTGTCTCAGGTATCCCGCCTCTAGCTAACAATGGACGAGTTTCGTTGAGCATGTGCCACTGTTTTCGTCAGTATGTAGACGAGTCTCCTTATCGACTGATTCTGGCCTTCAGTGCTGCCGTGCCACAGACTTGACTGGGACTCGCCTAAACACCCAAAAAGCATCAGACTCGAAGCATTTGAAGAAGGAACCTTGTGACTCAAAGTTCTAAATATGATACCTTCACCTATTTAAAACAACAGATCTCTGAAATAAGCGAAAGCATATAGTATATACAGTATGTGAACAGTATTTGGAACATTTGTCAAAAGCATTCACATCTCTGGGGACTTAGTATCACAAACCAACATTCCTGAGCTCAGGGGCAAAATTTCTCTCCCAGCTGGAGAGGCAGAATACTAAATGGAGCGTAGCTATGGAGGATCTGAGCTGGGTTTCAAGTCCTTGACATTTAGCACATTTATCATAACACGGCACAGTCTGGGCATGGGCTTCACCACAGACGGGGAAGGCAGGGAAGAGAAGGTCTGGCGGGCGATCAATTTGAGCAAATTGGAAATGTCACGGCCTACTCAACATCAGCAGGGAGCCGGAGGAGCTCTCATCTCCCTGCTGAGCCGCCCTCCAACACCTCTATTTTATCCTTATATTCTCTCCACCTCCCTTGCCTCCACCTTTCCAGATGTTTGGTCTGGCACCCCACATGGATACTTCCACTTGGATTTTCTGTAGGGGACAGCTGCAAGGCACCCTGGTTAAATTTCAGCTCTGATGGAGTCCTGTTGTGGACTTAGTGTTAAGGGTCAGTTCACCAAATTAATAAAAAACAGATTCCCAGTGACCCCTAGTGATGGGTAGCCATACAAATAGTTCTGGTTACAGTGTATGTATGATATCTGGTTTTGAGTTCTCTGCCACAACCCAAATACAAGATTATAGATTATACTGAACAACTAGAGCGCTTACTGGCAGAGTTTGAGTGGTTGAATTTGTCAAAAAATAGTGGGTTGGAGTTGAAGCAGTGGGTCCAGCAGAAGATCAGAGCAGAGCAGGTGAAGGGTGGAGATGATGCTGATATCACTGATGTCTCACTAGAACATTAAGGTTAATTCAGCTCCATCCTCAGTGTAAACATTTTACCAAAAGCTATTGTAATATTTTTGTTTCAGTGGATGTTTTTGTGGTGCACTTCTCTCTTTGTCTGGTCTCACTATGATTTCCGTATTGAAGGCCATGAAAACATATCTTCTTCTCAACCAGCTTCTTATGTCCTATAATGTCCTAAAATCATTTCTATTTCACATCACAGACTTGTGTACGTTTTGGTGCTTCTGTGCTCTTCTCGGTGACTTAAAGATACTCTGCTGAATTTCTCTCCAGCTGCTAGAGGGTCTAGTGAGTCTCAAAACAATTTTGTACCATGAATCTCTCCATTGACATTTTTTTATGAGAAAGAAATTAAACAAGTCTGTATTGTAGAATTTCTATATAATCTGTGGTCTTGAAAACAGGACAAGGGACAGGCCTGACAAATTTGAGAAACAGATGTTTTAACAAAATGTACAATAACATTTTTTGCTATTACTGTGAATTCTTGCTACAGTGCTTTGAGTGCATCAGCTCGCCTCAGCTTGTCTCTCACGTGGCCTTATGAACATTTGTGTCAGCTAATGATACAGGCTGATGGGCAAATCAGCACTAGAGGCCTGTGACACTGTACAAGCCTGCTGTTTTTGTGCTGGAGATCCAATCTTGCCCAGCACTCTCAAATGCACAGACAACATGCTCTCAGAATAGGAGTGCTTGGGCTGATTGGTTCCCCAGTGAAGGAAGCCTAAGCACAGAGTGCTCCTTCAGTCACTCTGCCATCTTCAAATGGGCAGGACAAGGCGGTTATCTACATTCAGAGAGGAATGTAAGAGCTAATGCCCAGGATTTGTGTACACACCTTTGAAGGGATTTGTTACAAAATTGACATATCTTTTGCCGGGAAAACCTGACAGCTGCACTTACATTTTTTGCATGAAACCACAAAACTCTCCACTGCACCCACTATAGGGACAAGCTCTCTGGAAATGCTGAAAATCTATTGCTTGCAGGAAAAATTGCTGCTGCTTATTTATTTTTCCTCAGTGTTGACAGCAATGTTTTTTCTCTCACAAACAACTACACCACTGTGAAATATGTAGGTGGCGGACAACAGTTTCAATAACATCATCTCTCATTTTGGGCTTCCAAGCTACTGTGGGGTCCCACAGATGGATGATGATTTTTTTTTGGTAAATAAAATTTGTTGTGGTGTTTCGTTACCTACTGTTTAATTCCACAGAGATAAGAATGTATCCGTTTCATTTAGCAGTGAATTGCCAAAACAATTAGAGTTTCGCTCTTTGAGCTTAAGCAACCAAAAGCACAGAAGAGTGGCAGATTCCTTAAAGAATGAAGGTAATTATTCTGTTCTTCATTCTTCATCTGTTTGCATGAACTACTGAGCACAGAATAAAAATTAGGGTGATCTTTTCCACATATTACTTCAAAGAGCAACACAGACATTTTCTGTAAAACCATGTATCTTACCTATGTGTTTTCCATACATGTGGTAGAAGAAGCCGAAGCAGTAGGCAGGTGGGTTGGTGATACCGTAAGGGTTTTTAGGTGCTACATTGAAAAACGGACTTACAAGCCGTGCTTGGTCCCCTTCCTTCCGTGGTCTTGATGTCTCAATATACATGTAGAAACCTTAAAGAACAGGGACACATAAAAACACACATGCAGGCATATGCACTTATAAAAAGATACTGCAAGTATTGCTAGCAGGCAAAATCATATTAATATACAAATATAAAATCTTAGAAACTAATTAGATTGTGGAAGTTGTGATTTTGTTTATCTAACTTGAAGCTTCAATGTTCTTTTTTTTCTGGAAAAGCAACAACTGAAGGATAATTATGGTTTATTAGAACTTGGGTCTTAAGCTTGATTTATGGTTCGGCATGGAATCTACACAGAGCCTATGTCATAGGCTACTCAAGTGGGCTATGCCATTGTGAGCATTTATACTTGTGCCTGGTGTGTCTGTCTCGCTCTGTAATTACATCGCCAATACGCAGGTTGGCAGCAGTCTTTCTGAGCCAATGTGTTGCATTTTGTTGTCACTTACTAACAGTGGTGACTGAAACCGAACGGGTCATGTTGGAGTTAAAACTAATAGATGTTGAACAGCAGTTACTTTTACTGAAATAACTGGAACACAGATAAGAGAGAAGACCTCAATTGATGGTCTGTACTATCATCGAACGAACTGAGGCAGAACAAGGGAGGATTTTCCGTGATCATCCAGCCACTGAGAGACATGAACAAGGAAATGCGAGGCAACCAATCACAGTTGTTGTGGTCTGTGTCGCCACAGAGTGTAGTCACATTTCTGAAGTGGTACATGTCAGGCTACAGTGTAGTCTATGGCGTAAGGTATGAGGTTATGCGTTACCTATGTTGTACCCACTGTACAGATTCAACGCAGAACCATAAATCAAGCTTTAATTGTAGTTTTCATCATTTATGTCAGTTTTGCTAACACTGTACTCACCAAATCCAGAAATACGATTGGTCAGATGATTATACAGATTGCAAGCAAAGCATAGTTATATAAACCAAAACAGTCCTAGGGTTTATTTGACCAAATGTTTCTCATCCCATAGCCACATTCCCAGTTCTCAACATTTTGCCTGATGAATACAATGTTTTTATGACCTACAGGGTGAACGGTAAAACTTTTGAAAATATGACCCAAGTTACAATAAACAATTTTGTTTTAGATAAAAACCCAACAAATACATTTGTAATTACTTATGTATACAGCACATAGATACACAGTATTTATCTCAGCATGCCTTGTGGCTATCCTTAGGCCACAAGACAAAGTCATTGTGTCTCAGTGGGAATCTTCACAAACAGTGGAGGCACCCTAAAAGTAATAGAGCTTTTGTCAGGTCGTGCTCAGAAGCCCACAACTACTTTCTAACTGCCTTCTGATAAACCAACATATTATTTATCACTGTAAGCCCCAGGAGAAGGCAAGACATCCTTAGTCATGCTCAGCTGCTTTTTCGGCCAGTCTGTAATAACATGATGGAAATGAAACCTTCCATATCAGGAAAAAGGAGCAGGGCATTCTACGAAGGACACTTCTCTTTTTACTAGTAGCAATAACCAGGGGCGAATCGAGACGATAAAATGGGGTTACATTTATGCTCCCTTGGTCTGACAGGCGTGGACAGCAGCAGTGATGGCACTGAGTCAAACAGTCCTCTGACTGTGTCTGAGCCACATAATGTGAAGCCAATTTCAGTCCTGCCACAGGCATAGGGAAGGTAGCACCGCTCTAGCCAAAATCAAATGGGACATCCCTCAATTGAATCTCATCTCATAATTAATTCTAATTATATGTAAAGAGGAATGGTGCTGGTAAGAAATACTGGACATTTAGAAACAATTAGGAGATTAAAGCCAATATATTATTTACTGCTTCAGCTGCTGCTTGTGTCACAGCACCACAACAGTGACTTATATTAAACCCCAGACAACCACCATTAGAAGATTCATACACGACCATCTGATGAGTTCCTAGAAATCCAATTGTGTTACTTCGGCTTTTATAAATTTCTTCAACATGGACCTATAAGTAACATAATGAATACTAAATACTAAACAGAAGTCTCTGGTTTAGGTACCCATGGAAACAGCAACAGAGACACAGTAACAAAGATTATCTTGAAAATAAATGATCAAGGCTGCTCATTGTAGATTGTGCTGGATCACACAACTGGTGACACAAGCTTTACAACTCATATCGTGTACTACACTTTTGGGGACACTTAAATCTTTCCAAATTATTTCAACATTTCAAAACGTGACATTTTTAGTGGCATGTGTGCAAATAAAGGTACAACATTATCATGACACACGCTTTTAGCAATAGCATGATAATCACGTTGTGTGCTCATGCACTGTGGGATTCATGTGTTCATGTGTGGATTACACTGGAAACCTCAAAGGAGTGTCCATTTAACTATGTGCATTCAAGCCAACTTATTTCCAAACTAATGAGCAGGTGCAGTGTTTTCAGAGCCATGCTGACAGCTGGCAAAAATAATTGTTTACACTTTTTACTACTGGTGTATCATTTTGCAGTATGATTTTTCAGCTATATGGTTAAATCCACAGCTGTGAAATGTAACTGAGCACACTGGTTAGTGAACGCTGAAGATGCTGGTAATTTGTATCTATTTGCTATTTTATCTACCTGTATATTACATATACTGTATGTTTTATACAGGCATTATCTTATTCAGTTGGTCTATAAGTGCATATACTTTTTCAGTCAGGCAGCTAAAGCCTTTTTCAGCATATAAGAGCATAGTGAATTACTGTGAATAAATGTAGCACAAACATGTTTAGAGTTTCCAGTTAAGTTCTAGCTTGTTTGATGCACTGTACACATGATTGGACTGCATGTAGCTATATCGAGGAATGATTTGGACCTGTGGCTACTGTGTATCACTTAATCACTAACTGATTACTCATCCAAGGAATCAATCAGCTGACCCTTCGCTAAGTGGCACGTCAAGCTTTCAGTTCTAGAGTGACATATTCACATACTATATGTGGATTACAGTGATAATGGGACCAGATTTGGAAATAAAATGTGGAACCATTGAATTGTATATCAGTGTACTGTAGCTAGTTCTCAAGAGGGATTTGTTGGGTTTTTCAATATAATACTGCAAGGACTAGACCTTACTGTACTATGCAAAGTGCACTTAGATGATATGTGTTGTGATTTGGCATGCTGCAAATAAAACTCAATTGAATTGAATTGAACTTTGCTGGAGCATTCACTAGATTTCTTCAGTCCACTAAAGCACAGAATGGATCCGTTAATGCCTAAACTGTTTCTATAACAAGTAACACTTGGGACTGGCTTCCACACAGTGAGTGTAGCAGTCTCAAACAGGGTTTTTCTAACAAAAACTAACCATATAAAATGTCGCAAGCTAGTTAGCTGAGTTTGCTAATGTTCGCAGCTTAAGTTAATGCAGATAAACACATTGTTTAATCCATTATTTACACTTCGGCTCTAGTTCTGTGTTCTTGGTTTTTGAAAGTCTGGCAAACCTCCAAACTCTTTGGATACCAAGTGATACCTGTCATAAATTACCATCAGGCACAGGACATACTGCAGCACCACAAGTTTTCAATTTAGTGGCAGATTTACCAAGACTAATGTTGTAAATGAGCACAGCTGCAGTTGTGTTAATTTGAATGTATTTCAGCTGGTAAGGATGAGCCTGTACTGTGCAAGAGTGGACCAAAAGGGACAGCAGAAGAAAGTATGTTTAATGCAGCTGATCTTTAATGTGGTAAAAGAAATCAAACACATTTCAGAGCTGCATCCACGTAGTCTTCTTCCAGTCAACTCTAAGGCTATAACATAGTTTGACATGAAAGCCTATAAATGTCCCTCACATTCTCCTCTGGTAAGTGATGCGATTTACAAACCTCGACCTCCTTAAATGTGTTCTTAATGCTCAACTGACAGCTGCCATGCTGGCAGCAGGGAGGCAAATTTAACACCTGCTTTGTTCTGATGTTAAATCTCAGCCACAGTTCCCTCTGCCACAGCAGTGGTAAATCAGGCGCTGAGGGTCTTTGTATAAATTTCCATGCTCTCCCTGATTTTTGTATCCCTGAATGAGAATGCCTTAAAATACATATTGCATGAGACCAAGTGTGCAAAGTCCTGCTGTGCCACTTCTCTTCTGGTACAAAACCCCCACTGTCGCTGCTTAGTAAATATGCTATTTCACTGTCTAGTGCAGAAAATGACGTGAAAAACTGTAAATATCTCCCCAATCATTTCCTTTAGTTCAGAAGAAGATTTTACTGAACTGTCAATTAGACTTTTAGGACTACTTACCCTGCTTGGAACCACTGCGGTCAGCACTAGGCCCAGTGTTTGGCGTATATTTGGTGTCACGTGTAGCAGCACTGTGTCGTGTCCAATCAAAATCATCATTCTTGTCTTGTGTGAACATGCAGATAGGCTCCTCCTCAAAGCTGCAGTGGAACTCTCCTGGTGAGCAACAGAGCAAAACCAGTCTCTTATATTCAGGTCATTAGAGAAGTTACACACTGCCTAGACAGTACAGTACTGTATATAGGCAGTGTGACCCCCACTGTATATTTATGAGATTTCCTGTAGTGTGTATGCATGTATGTGAGTGTCAGGGGGATATACAACAGTAAGTCATAATTGCACCACATGACTAACTTCATCTGAGTTAAGAGGTGACCTCTTGCTGACTGTGACCACTGAGTGGTCAGTGAGTATGTTTAGTTTGGCAGTTTGGTTCAGTACAGAAAGGATAATCTGCAGAGAAAGTGCTGCAGCCTGGAAACACCCGACAGTGTGTGTGTGAGCCTCAAAACTGGTTATTAGATGCTACCATGACAGCCCACTACTGAAACATGATGGGTAGCATTCAGTGAATATGCAGTCTCACACACAGCCTCACTAACGTGAGAGAAGTTAGAAATAGTAAAAGATCGTTTTAAATGTATTTACTAGTTTTCTAGGTATTGTTCATTGCTTGAGAACAATGTGCATTGAAAGTGAATCTGTTGCACTACTGTTAATAATTTTGTGTTGCTGTTTTGTTTTTAGGGTTTTTGTTTTGTTTTTTCTTTTCATGATTGAAAGTAAAAATTAGGTGATTGTCCTTGGATGTTTCGTAGTGTCTCACTAGAAGGACTCTGTGTCATCAGTTTTTAAAATTGACACCACCTCCCTTCTCCTCTATCACTTTCCATCATCTCCGTAGTGGGCGTGCAGGTGGAAATATTGGGAACCCCCCCCATCTCCATTCCCTCCCCTTTTGCCCTTCCTTCTCCTCTGTTGCTCTCCACACCTCTTTGACTGCAATTTTTAAACTAGTGGAGTGTGCAGAGAGGGAATGAAAGTGTGGGTTTCATCACCCTTCAAGAAAAAGAGTAATTGTTACTGTAGCATGAGGTTATGGTGGGTCACATGCAGGGGATTGTCTAACAAAGAATTCACTCATAAATAGTTGGAAAATTGCATGCACGGAGAACTAACCCACTCAGTGTAATGAAGGGGTAGGGACAGGATCAACAGTGTCAAAACCTCCATTTAATCTATGTAACAAACAAAGCAAAACACCTAGCCAGAGGATGTGGTGCTGCTGAGCAGTGTCCTCAAAGAGATAGTAAAGCGGAGCATTTAGATTCAGGATGCAGGCATGTGTTCTGATAAATATTCATTGATTTATTAAAACATAGCTGGGAGCAGTTTGGAGTGGTGACCTTGATAGGAGCAGAATCTGCAGCTTTTACTCAGGTAATGGAGGTAACATAGACAGAGGTAGAGTGTGGGTGGATGGACTGAGAGAAGGAAGAGGGCAGTGATGCTGTGAGGCAGAGAAAGGGAGAGAACAAGATTGAAAGTGAGTGCAGGAGAGAAAGAGGTAGCAAAGTGGGAGAGTGGAGGAAGCAAGCACTCTTGACTCTTCTCTTCATAGGCATGCAGATCTAAATGGAGGTCTAGCCCCTGGCGTGAGACACTGATGCCCCATCCCACTGTGAGCTAAACTAAATGTTTTTGCCTTCTGCACCAGGGAGAGATAGGAGGATTTGGAAGATAGGGAGAGGAAGGAGGGTAGAAGAGGAGGTGTGCAGGTGAGCTAGTTTCCTTCAGGGATTTGGATAATGATGTTGGTGATTAGGATGTTTGATATTGTGTTGCCAGTGCTTGTGTGAACACCCACCAATACATACAGTATGTCTATATTAATAAATAAACCACAATACACAACAGCACACTGCAAGTTTACATTGATTAAGTGCGGATTCTCAAAATGGGAATGTAAATTTGTAAAGTTTAAACAGTGAAATGCATCATAAATGGGACTAAACAAACAATAAAAGCACATATGGCACAGATACATGCATAATATAATGCTCACAAAGCACAGAGTTTGCAAATTTACTCAGACACATACAAACCCACATGTCTCATGCAAAAACAGTATCAACAAAGCACAATGTCCTGCAGAGATTTAAAGCTCCCAACACGTCAAATGGCCTGATACAGGTTTACTCAGAATTCCCAAAGGAAAACCTTATTAATCATACTTTACTTAGTTCTACTTAGAAAGATCTTCCAGTGCAATGTGACATGTTGAAAATCAGGTCTCTGTGGGATGTACAGTTACTTTGAGTCTTCCTACTGTTCTCACAAACTGTGTTAGAACAGAAGGAGCTCTCGCTCTCTGTCATGTTAACCGAGGTGCACATTACTTACTCAGGTGAGGGTTGATGGGAGCTGTAAAAAAAAAAAAAGGTCAGGGACAGTCATTAGTATAGAACATGTTGGCTGTACATCATTATGTGAATCCCCTTATTTTAAGCAATTGTGCACATACAGCTGTACAAGCATTCAAATGGTCACACTTTAAAACAGTTTGGCTGTTGTGTGCTTTACTGCAGCTTCCACCGCAAACTATACAGGAATGCTCACAGTAGCTGCTGCTATTAATCTTTTGTTCTACTGCCATTTACTGCTTAAATGCAGAGCTACTAAAGCCCACATGTACAGTATAAAACTTTGCTCAGTGTTCTACCATCATAAAACAAAATGGGAGGCCAATGGGATGTCAGTATACAGTATAGTCCTGTGGTATTAACACATTGGAAGCATATTAGAGTATGCATGGTCCATCTTAGACAAGCTCTATTCCGTTCACAATGTATAAACAAATAGTACAAATATACTTAAACAGAACACAAAACATTGATTATTGAGCAAATAGAAAGAGAGAGGTCTGAGATTTGAAGTGAAAAAGGTGACAGTAGTCGTTCTCAGCCTGTTATCAAATGGAAAAGTAAGAAGGATTAGGAAGACCAGCCTGACCCCATTAATAGGCTTATACTACAACTGCTTATCATCGTTGCCTTTTAGCAGCATTGCTGATGTTCTTTCAAAGGTGACTTCCATTTAGAGCACAAAGCTACTTTACTTTCATTTAGAAGACAACAAAAAAAGGTAAAAATTAAAAGTGTGTCTGCTAATCACGTTCCTGTATTATCGTACTATAGCCCTTTTCAGACATGCACAGGAACCCTGAAAATCTCTAGAAATTACCCAGAGGAGCTGGATGTGAGGACACACATGTCCGAGTCAGTTGACCCGGACCTTAAGGATGCTTTACTCTGTCAGCTCCCTAGTACAATGTCTACATAAGGTCCAAGTGAGCCTCAGTGAGCCCATGTGAGAATAGAGTAGCTAGTATTGAGGGAACTCCTGTTGTGTGCTACATGTGTGGAAGGGCAACTCTGTACAAAGTCCGAGCCTTATTCCACGGATATAATCTGAAGTTCATTTGTGAAAATAGCTTATGTTTTTATGGAAACTTTTAGGACAAACCTCGATGATTTGAGTCCATTGAATTTTATTTATTTATTTTCATTCTATCCAGCTAAATGTGGTCCCTCACTGATAATTTAAGAGGCTACTGCTGCAACAAACACAGAAAGGTCAAGGGTATCACACAGAGTTGCAAAGAGCCAGTTAGTCTGCACTTCACTTTTTGCAGAGTAAATACCATTTAACCTGTCAAGAAGATTCATGAGCATTTTCATGATCGATTGCTGACCGGCTGAATAGATGCGATACATCAGCTTTACCACAAAACTATGTTGCTGCGTGATTTATGAAACCTTGCTGTTCAGGGGGGAATTGATTTTAATCCAGCCAATTAAAATGAGTAATAACAAATCATTCCTACAAAAGAAAACATGTACTGAAGGACTAGGGAAGTAGTTTGGGCACTGAAGAATTTGTCTTTTTAAAAGCAGAAACTCAAGTAGTGATTTCTGTTTACTGCTGTGTGGCTCATATAAATGTATGTCCACTTATTTCATGCAATGTGGAGAAAAGAGAAATAACCGCAAGGACACACACACACACAGAAAAAGAAAGAAAAAGCTAATTATTACATTCTCAACTGAATCATATTCAAGGCAACTGCAACACTGCAGCTGAGGCCTTGCTGTGAGGGATGGTTGCACACCCTCATCATATAAAAGGTTTAATAATCCCTTATGTTTCAGATTGTGAAAAAAGCAGCATCCTAACACTCAATGCTTCCTAGTGAATCTACACTGTACTGCACAGAGCAGCACTGCTGCAATGGATGTTTCTGCAGAGAGGGAGCGAATCTTCCAGACTGTTGTAGAGAAAATGTTTTAAATGACAACTTAGAGCCTCAGGCCTGTGAAACTGATGCTAAATTTTCTAACGAAACTTGATTCTTTCAAACTTGATTCTTTCAGGCCCTCCTCCCACTCATGGTTCTCTCCCTCCCATCACCCATTGCTTGCAACTCTCCTCACCCCCTTTTCAATCCTTCCTGTTCAACCCTCCTCCCTCTTTCTTCCGAGAGCATGGTTATGAAAATATGTTTCGTTGTTAGTTTTTTTTTAACCTGCAGCTACCCCAGGCTGACTTGCTGTGCCTTAGTCCAGATGAATGTGTCTCCTCAAGCAATGTATCTACCCCCACTGAGGAAATGAAACTGCACACAGAGCAGGTCCAGAGGCTACTTTACTACTGCTGTGCATGTGCAACACCCACCCCCCACCCCACCTACCCACATATAAACGGATAATGCAGCTTCCAAGTTAAATGACTGTAGAGGATATAGAAAAACAACCAAGGAATCATAAAAAATGAGACCGAGACCATTGTTGACTTCTTTTTGAAAATTTTTACAGCCTTGTCTTTTAACCACTGAAAATGTGAGTAGACCTCGGATGTTCTCAAAATGCACCGTTGTTAAAGCATAGGTGTGAAAAGCCCTCAAGCAAGTTGCAAAGGCTTTTAAAAAAAATCTCCATTTCTTTCTTAATGGTGCAATCCTCTGCTCTGCCCTCCAGCTAACAGAGCATCAAATAATGACAGAGGATGAAATGTAATTTCCAGTGAAATGTAATTTTCAATTTTTTATTTCAGTGGATAACAGTTCCAGCGATCATGGAGTGAAAACTTTGGTTACAACAGGTCATGCACTCAACCGATGTATTTGGTCCTTGTCTGTCTGACTTCTTGGTTTCTTTTCCAGCTGAGAGGATGAAATAAACTGCTCCTTGATGCATAAGTGCCTTCCACCAAAATTACCTAATTTTGATTTCAACACAAAGTAAGCTCAAGGACAGTGGACCCTTTGAGGCCATTGATGATACAAACACTGACTTTGTCTTGGCAGGATTCCCTGTCCACTGGTCTGTGGCTGGATTATAAAGTAGAAGACAATTCCATAGCTGCAGGCAAGTGTCTTCATAAGGTGAATCCCAGTTCACTTATTTTATTGTTCTTCAGTCCTTGAACCTCACTCTCTTCTGGTCCACCCTGATGAAGGATGTTCCCTTATTTCTGGAGTGAGGAGGCTGCCTGGAGGAGCTAGAACTCAGGATACATGAGTCTATCCTTTGCAAAAGTCTGTTACAGATTGAGACGCCCCTTTGACAGAAGGATGTCTCATGTCAGTTAAAAGGTGTTTCCTCAGTTCCTCTCCCCTCACAGTTTTTCCTTGCATCTTTGCTTGTGTCTTACCTGGGTGGGACTATAATGCAAGGAAAGGACACAAGTGAGGGAAATATGGGTTCAATTAAGGGAACTGGGATTCACCTACAGACAACAGTGGGGGTCTAAGTGGCAAAAGTAACACAGGTAATATCATACTATTATACTCTTTGATCAAATTCTTGAGTGAAGAACACAGGACATACCCAAACACAGCCAAACCATGGGGCAACCCAGCAGACCTTTTCCAGAATTACCAGCAAAGGCACCCAGCTGACAGTGAGACAATCCATGAATCACATATTCCATGTGCAACAATTGATACAAGGTCTTAAGTTGTACTCCATGTGACAGAAAAAAGCAGACAGTGGAACAAAATTGCCAAAGTGGTCACATTTTCTTTGTCTAGACTTATGATTTCAGTTCAAAGAGGTGCAATGAATTCAAACAGCTCACTAAAAGGCTGAGCCCTAGACATAGTATAATATTTTCATGTGGAAAAAAAAATAAAGGGAAAGGTAGCACTTCTGACGATGTATAAAAATGCTATAAGACTGCAACTACACTATGCCTCAAATATTCACATTTCTATGTTGCTGCGTTTAATAATAATGTGTATTTCAGTATTTTATCGTGCTATTACAAATATTGATACTAAAATAACATGGAATATCATATTATTTTAAAGGAATAGCTAGCCATTTTGGGAAATTTACTTCCTTGCTTTCTTGCTGAGAGTTAGCTGAGAAGATTGATACCACTCTGCACTTTGTACCGATTGTATCACAGCTTCGCAACAACCCCATTCCATTTTGAAGGCTCCTTCAAATGCGGCTGAGATGTGTCCTTCTTTAAGTGGGCAATGAAGGCTCCAAATGGAAGATATTTGGCAGCCCACCCTATCCCAAGATTCATTTAGCACCGGCAGAATGCAGAGCAGCTGTCCATCTGTAAGCAAATGAGTATAAATTTTGAACTATACAGTATTACCCACCCTCAGAAACTCAGCTTGGGGCTCATGTGTTGAAAAGAAAAACAATGAAATAAAATGTAGTACATTCAAAAAATGTGTTTCACAAAATTCAATGCGTATGAGACCATGACTGAACAAAAGCTCAGACAGGGATTACACTGAACCACCACCTTGCTGAATAATAACACCCTGACACCTCAGCTGTAGCAGACCACAGAAAGCATCAGGAGCATGGGAATGTATTTAATATAAGATTTAATGGATTTTGACTTTAGGAAAGGCATCTTGCTGTCACAATGAGCTGCATAAAAATGGAATATTAAGAAATAGTAGCAGTGTTTTACTGTGCCACTGTGAGAGATGACAGAAAGGCTTAAACATTAAATCCTCGAGAGGGTGAGAGAGAGAGAGAAAGAGAGAGTTATAAACAGATGCTGAGTTTGTCACTGCAGCAAAATTTAAAAGAGTGTCTTTGGAGCTTGGTGACACAGTCATCTTTCATCGTACATTTAGGGACACTATAACTGCCTTTGTGCCTTCTTGCCAACTCAGAAAAGCTGCTACCATCGACTTTATGTACACCAGAACAATCACTTGGCCCACTGAGTAAGAATGAGAAAACTCCTTCATATTTAAGATTTTAAATTAATATCATTTTTATAATTCTTCATTATTCTTTTTATTATCCTTTTACATTGTGCATTTTCCAATGTATTTTTGTATTTCTTTTAAGCAGGTCATTTGCTATCTAATGTGAGGTTCAGACCACTTTCCTGCCTGGCCTCTCCTCTCACATGTAAGTTCACTCCTGAGACAAAGTGTCCTTTTTGGAATAATGTCTATGACTAATGTAACTGTCAGCTAGAAGAATGGAATAGCTGTTTCATGTGATACACTAGGTTTAAGTAGAAAAGGATGTGAACGCAGTCACAGTTGGGTTCCCAGAAATGTAAGAACAAATGTGCAGTGTCTACACAGAGGACCGGTGAGGATGAGAGGTGTTAGGTTAGGAGTACTATAAATACAGGAAGCTTGTTTATTTGTCCTGTGCATCTGTCTTTGTACTGGAACCGAGTTCACCAGTAAAGCCTGAAACTTGATAATGAATGGTCTTGCCTGATTTCTTTTGCTGTCTGAACCTCTAATTCTTTTATTTTGGCATCACAAGCAGGATTAGATGCTGTGAGAATGAGCTAGTGTGCAGTTGAGAATGCCAGTTGGGTTATTTTAAAAGAAACTTGGATGTATACACCCGTACAGACATACAGTAGCTATGTCTTGATGCTGATTTAACTAAGACGTTTTTGCATGTGTTTATTGATGCTGGATTAGTTCTCCCAGGAGAATCCTTGTTGCTGTTTGGATTCTATAAGAGATATTAGAGTTTTTCCTATCAAATGTAACTGCATTAACACTTGCTATAAATGGTCACATCCTTGACACAAGTGTCTCTGAATCAAACATTTGTCTGTTGACACTGAAAGTAGTAACTATAGATAAATGTCGCTGGTACAGGTACAAGGATAACTGGGTCTCTCATTTTTTCCATGGAAATATTACTTTTTAGTTATATAACCACAGATATAAGACAAAACGGTAACTATCAACTAATTAGACAGTTTCATATAAAGTACTGTAACATCATGACAAAATATTACCGCATACATATCAGTTCACCATAAACTTGTAAAACCATTAATCCATCGTGCTAAAACGTGTACACAGATGCACCACAGGTCCCTGTTCCCCAGTGAGATTCAAAGAAAAGTGATAATGGAGAAGATCCTGGACTGTATTTCACACATCAGTCAGGATGTCTTGCGAGACACAGTCTGTGAGCAGAGTGAATTCGGCTCAGACCTACAATAGCCTGCTACAGTGACGTGGCACTGTGTGTGAGAGAACAGAGAAGCCCTAGAGTGATAATTAGTCCAGTTTCTTGTTGGGCAGGCAATTCGCACATCACCATTGGCTCTCTTCTTTTTTTTTTTCTTTTTTTTAAACTTGGTTCCTCTGTATCTCCCTTTTCTCCTTAGCACCAACTTGGCTGCCTTCATCTCTCCTATGCTCCTCTCTGTCTTAATTAGCCTGAATTCTCTTTCACTTCATTTTGATTGATTCAATTTGATTCAATCAGCTGAATTCAATTCAAGATTTAAAACAGAACACACAATATCACAAACTACTACAAAAATTACAGCAGAGAAAGATGATCTGTCTGTCTCCCTTTCTCTCTTTGCAAATTCTCTTTGAGCTGCAGTGCAACTGAATTATTCACAGCTACAGCAGCACGACACAGGAAGAGGTGAGCAGTTAGTGATAGACAGAAAACAATTTGCCAGTTTGTTTCTGAAAATGCACATGTCCAGTATCTGTGCATCTGTGCAGTGGCACTGCTAGGTCAACTGAGGATATTACTGTAGCTTTTTTTATTTCAGTGAGGTTTTATTTTGTTAGAGGGGTCATTTGGGCTTGGCAAGGATCTTTCAAAATATTTGCAATATAAAATTGAAAAAAGCTGTGCAGAATATGAAAATATCCCACGAGACAAAACTTTTCTTCTGGCTAAAAGATGAGGAGGAATCTCACACACATACACACATATATACAATCATTGTTTTGGGGGAAACTAATTGAAACCAAATATGACTCATCTTTGAGCAGCTCTGTTTGGTCTTGTGACCCAAACTACATGACGGTCTGACATTAGGATGGTCTCTCAAGCACTGAAACAAGTCAGCCTGTGCCCCGGTGCAGGATAGATCTGATCTGAGCAATAAAAGTCACGAGGAAGAAATGATCAGTCAGTTGAGCTACATTCATTTTGCTCAAACCGCTGAGGAAGCAGAGCAAGCTGATTTCAAGCTGTCTTCTGATGAGTGGATGTGCACAATATTTTACTGAGTTCACTTTTAAATGATGCTGTCTTATATATATCATAGATAATACGCCATCACTGTGATCATTGTAATGGTTTCTGATACCTTCTATCCATCAGTACTGATGAACATATGTCATAATGCAGCAGCACAAACCCAAGCTGGAGTTAATTTAAGAGTTTTTTGTAGCTAGCTTTCGGATAACAATAGTAGCTGAAGCCATAATTCTTCCACCTGGTCAACCACATGTTGTAAGTAGAAGACTAAAGCAAACCCAACTCTCCTGTGGGTATTCTACCCTGATTTTCTCTGTATTTTCCCAACAACAAAACACTGAAATACTGCAGGATGCTCACTGTCCTCCAAAAAACAATCCTAGAATTAACACAGTATGTAGCACTCACCACTGTAGGTGACAATCCGGATGGTGGAGTCACCCTCCCCGAAACGTGTGATAGGGGTAAGGCGCACCTCGTAGGATTCAGGCTTTATCAGCTCAGTCAGGTTGTGTGTCATGAGCTCTCCTTTGTTGATTGTTCCATCCACAGGGATCTCCTGTTCCCACCAGCGCTGCAGCCCCATCTGACCATGAGCAGGAAGCACAAGATTCAGATTATTAAAAATCACTAGACAGTCATAGGTTCTTTTTGGACCTATCTCCACAAACACACAAGCATTTCATATAAGATTGTTCCCCTGTAAAAAAAAAAAAAAAAAAGAGTCTACGATATATATTATGTATATTGTACACATAGGTTGGAAGACTTGTTATTTTAGACTACTAATTAAGAAGCTGTCAGAATTGGGTTTGTATCCAAATGGTTTTATTTCATATTTTACCTATAGGTTTCAGAAAATTGGGGTTAAAAGTTATAGTATAAGCCATAAGTCAACCTATAACATATAGAATCCTACAAGGAACAATTCACAACAACTTGGAAGATCAGCTTTGAAGGATGAAGTCATATAACTATGAGAGGATCTTCACAGAGTTGGGGGAATTAATAATAATAATAATATTACATATAGAGCACTTTTCCAAACATTAAATACATAGTGCTTCACACAGACATAAAACAATACAAAACCCCCATAAGACAGTAGAAGAATTAAAAAAATAAAATCATAGAAAGAATATGAACAGGCTTTAAGAAGAGATTTAAAAGAACCCAAAGGCGGCTAACCTGAGCTCCTCTGGGAGTTCACTCCAGAGTCTAGGGGCTCTAACTGCAAATGCCCTATCACCTCTGGCTTTTAGTCTTATTTCAGGAACAGACAGAAGACCTTTACTGGAGGATCTTAGGTTATATGCAGGTTATTAAGGAATTAACAGATCAGAGATATAATGTGGGGTGAGGCCATGCAGGGCTTTAAAAGTCAACAGAAGGATCTTAAAATCAATTCTAAAACATACTGGGAGCCAGTGCAAAGAAGCAAAGACAGGAGTGGTGGCCAAATTTCTTACGTCTAGTTAAAAGCCTCACCACTGAATTCTGGATGATTTGAAGCCAACTAATAGATTTTTGATTAAAACAAGTAAAAGGAGTGCTACAATAGTCGAGATGTGAAAAAATGAAGGCGTGAACAATGGTCTCAGTATCCTTGAATGACAAAATTGATAATCTTTTTGTGATATTTCTAAGCTGGTAAAAACATGACACATACAGGTTTCATATCTGTACAAAAAGAACATATTTTGTTCAAACAGTATCCTCTGAAGAGGTTGCTCCTATGAACATACTGCTTTGTGTATATCAAATCAAATCAAATTTTATTTGTGTAGCGCCAAATCACAACAAAAGTTATCTCAGGACACTTTACAAAGTAAGGTCTAGGCCTTACTGTTATCAATATTATTACATAGGGAAAACCCAACAAATCCCCCTTGAGCAAGCACTTGGCGACAGTGGGGAGGAAAAACTCCCTTTAACGGAAGAAACCTCCGACAGACCCTGGCTCTTGGTGGGCGGCCTTCTGCCTCGACTGGTTGGGGTGAGTAGATAGAGGAGAGACAAAAGAAGAAAAGCAACAAGACACAACAATCAAACACTGATCAGGTCGATGTGGCTGGTGACTGCT